GGCTCGTGTTCTCACAGCATTTCTCGTTCTCCCAAACTTCCACTGGTGTTTCTATAACTCGATGAAAACACGGTACATGTTTTCTATTTCTTAAATAAAAAACTCTTATGGTCTTTAGGGGTAGATGCAATATAAAAATTGGAAATATTTTGAAACCGAAGATTGAAACGGCTCGGACTCGCGAAATTATCATTTTGAAACTTCAAATAGAAGGGTTCGTGCTACCAATCAGAATTTGTGTGTCTATTTGCAAACATTATGAATTAAAAAATATATTATAAATTACAAAAATTTCCTTTGACATGTTTGTTATGATAGCACGTATTCAAGGGTAAAATCTGTTCTGAAATTTGGAACTTACAACTCAGTTACTCTCCTCAAGTTCCAAAAGTCGCCTCTTGAAATTTTGGTCAAGTTATTTCTGTCTAAACGCCTGCAAAAGAAAAACAATTGGAAGACGAGTGGTATTTCCTTAGTATCATTAAAGGAGAAAAAGGTGTTTCCTTGGCTGAGAGAATATATCTTCTGTCACTTTTTGTACACTTAATGACTCTTCCTGCAGTCGTGTGTTTTATCAATTTTTTTCTTATATGATATCACTTAGGTCATCACCAGCTGCTGGCCTATTTTACTATCCTATCCTATCTTAGATCTTTTCTGTTTTATCCTACCCATCCAAAAAATACAGCTTCCTTCAAAAGAAAATATCGACTTTTTTCAACGTTCTGCTTACACTGGCAAGCTAAGATACACAGCATTTTATTGAAATAACACTCACAATACATAAGAAGTGGCTGGGAAACCCCGTGGAACCGTAGAAAGATTTCTGTTAGTGCAAGTCACAGATTCACCGGCCCACGAGTCAACACAATAACATAGCTGACATGGATTTTTGGCTGCAAATCAAAAAGCAACGAAATAAAGTTAATAAATACATGCACTCTTGAGGTTAAGAGACCTTTTAACCCATGTCACGCATTCCTGATTTTCTCGTTCAAAAAAAAAAGTAAACCTCACCACTCGATTTCTCATGCCGAATTTAGTAAATAGCGAACTTTCATTAGAGTCCGTTGGAAACTAACTTGCCAATTTTTGCTAAGAAATGTATGCCAGGGGGCAATGCTTGCAAGTTCCGTCAGATATTTTTATGAATTTGCAACTGATTCTCATGAAACTACGTAGATTTACTAATTTCGGCGCGAAAATTGAACTATGGAGATGACTTTCCATTTGCATGTCACTTTACGTTGCCATAGCAGCTTCTTTTTGACATGCCGCTCAAACCAAATTGCGTCTTTCTTGACCGAATTATTTTTCTTTTTACCAGTTTTCTTGAGCAGCATTCCACTTGTCAATTTTTATTGTGAACTAGTTCAGTTTTCCATAAAGTTACGCTATTTACTGACTTCCCGAAATAATAGCGAAATCCAAGATGGCGGATGTTTTGACGCTAGGTGACGTCACAATGAACAAAAAACATTTTATCTCAGGTAACAAGTTTAAAGGTAACATTTACGCTTGTAAAGGGTTAAGCTTAAATTTCTTTTATGTATCAACTTCCTTGTTTGTTTGTTCGCTTTTTGTTCTCTCTGGTTTATTCAGAACATAGGCATTTCCACCAATATCCCAATATTTTTTGGGATATGTAGTTAGAATTTTCCGAGATGTTTAGAAAATATTTAGAGAGAATTTAGAGCTATTTAGAAATATTAATAGTTTTTTTCGCTTAGCTCTGTGTTTCCCTCGCTATTTCTTGAAACTATGCTCAGTTCTATGCCAGAAACAACCCAGTTCAGCGATTTCCCCCTTGAAAACTGTGTACCACTAACAGCACTAAAGCCGCAAATCTCCAAAATGGAGAATGCTGGAAGCATCGAGGCGCCTGAATTTTAGTGCTGCAAGAAATTTTGGAAAATTTTTCGCCTGAGTATTAAAATCGGTTCAAAATAAGATATATTTTGAGGGTTTTTCTTAATATTTAGAGACATTTTGCGAATTTATCTTCCAGAAAGATATTTAGGCGATATTAAATAAATATCTACCACTAGCCACCGACTTTAGGGGTAAATAAACAGCCAAAACCAGCGACCGAGTAATATAGAGGGGACTGGACACTACAAGTTCAATTGACACTCATTTTACTTGAATTTTGAATCGGAACCAATCGTCTAATTCTGGAAATCAATCATGTAGTTAGGATTTGATGAACAAGCATAACTTTTGTCTATTTTCATTTTCCAAGTTTTTCGTAATAGTTTTAAATTAGTTTTTTTAACTCAAATTAATATTTTGTCATGATGATCGAAAGCGATATTTTCAACATCTAAGATCCATGAAAAAAGTGCTAGGAAGTTCAAATTAAAATATGTCACAGTCATAACTATATTTTACAACGATGCCATTAGTTTTGTTATTGGTTGTAGTTATTCAAAATTAATGTAACCTGAGACAAGGTTCATTTAATGAATTGATGGAATCTGAGCATTTGAAATATAAATAAGACATAAGACATACCCCCAATGGGATATATCTCATTTTAGTACATGTTTCTTTAAACAATGAATGTAAATCATACAATGCAAAGAACATATGCTTTCACAAAGTGTAAAACTCTTACATTCGCACGGTGTTGGAAACAAAGCGTAAAAACTCCTGTCGGGCGTTGATTCTTTTCTGTATCTTAACTTATCTGGCTGAGGGGCTTAATTCGCGAATGGAAATTGTAATTATCGTTAAATTTTAATTGACCGATCTTGTTTGCTTCTAAATAGACTCGATTTAATTTAAATAGTGGAATTGTTAACCTAATAACTTTGAGGACCTTGTAATCTTATTGAAAAAATAGACAAAGAGTGTTTCGTTTAAATCTTTGCCATGCAACTGAATACATAACGAGAAATACGTAATGAGGCACTACGACCAAGAAAATGGTAAATAGACACACTTTCCAACTAATTACAAAATCCAAGAAACGAGATTGAATCCTTCAAGGAAGAAACCGAGCACTGAGCGTAAAAGCGCAGATCGCGGACTGTATCAATATCAACAATATTGGTTCAAGTAAATTTTCATTGCGAAATGAATTTGTAATTTGGTGGTGAAATTAAAGTTAAACGACAAGGAATAAACATTTGTTACATGCTGAAATTAGCTTTAGTGTACATGGAGTACAGTACGGCGGCTTTGCGAAAGAAAACCGTTAACAGAAATAATCTGAAGTATTCATGAGCTTCAAGTGGCTCTAGACCAGCCATTCTTTTTGAGTAAACTGATTTGTGAACTAGGTAACTATTGACCTGTTTTAAAAAAATTTTGATAAATGATAAATTTCTTCTGCTATCATTGACACTTCCCATTTTGACAAACTTGCAAGGCTCCAGGAAAAGTCTCTTTAGGGTAAAGTAACACGAGTATGTCGAGATTAAAAATAAACTGACTTTACCTGCTAATCCGTCAGTTAATGAAATAACAACAAGGAACGTAAGCTTCACAAGAAGTGTCAAACGCAATTTCTTCATATCTTTTGTGTTTTATCTGGTGTTTGGTTCGTGAAGGAAGTACTAGCTGGTGCCATAGTTGTTCAATACCAAATCAGTTTTCTTCTATATTTCATCCTCACTCGACAAAGGAGCTTTTGAATTGGTGAATAAGGTCGATATTTCATCTGCACAGTGAATAACCTCTGTCGATCGTCCCATCTTTAAAGTTATAGATCTGTCATAGGAACCTTTCCAGGTGTTTCTTTTCATAATTTTTTTAAGTCCATAGTGATTATTTCTCAATCTGCGTAATGACTATAATAGCAGATTTTCGACCAATGGAGATAGCGCCTTCCAACAAAAGTGAGGAAACCATTTAATAAACAGAGTCAAAGCACGAGACCTCAGTCACGAACAATGTCACTTACCCACTAAATTTTCAATTTCGTATACTGAAGTATGACAGCAAGTTAAGCTTTATCAAAGCAGCGCACGCATTATAACCTATTTGTATCGGGATTTGTGTGTCGCCGTGAAAAAGCAGTATCCTTTTCATGTCTAAGACCCAAATACAAAGTAAAAAAAGAAACAGTCTGTCCAGAAACCCTCAATTTTGTCTGCGTTCGTCGCGATTGCAAGCTTAGCAAAATATTAACCCGGCGCGTGGGATATGAACGAGCCAACACGCAAGGGAGTGGGGCTGGGGAAAGAAATAAATATAGTCTCTGGTCTTCTTTTGAGAAACTGAATTCTCAGTTTCGCCAGAAACGGAAAATTCCCATTGGCTAAAAGGCCATTAACATGTCAAGGATCAATCATGCGTGCGACATGCGATTTGAAGTGGTTGTCGTCTCCTCACTGTATAGAGTCGCTTGCCTCCAAATTTGCATATGACCGTAATGTTACACAGTCGATCTTCAGGGAATCGAAACCGGCAAGTTCGCTTCAGTTCCTCAGTGAGATCCTTGGATTTCAAGCGGTAATTGAAAAAATATATATATATTAGAAAAACTTGAATAATGAATTTGATCAAGGTCGTAATGTACAATATACAATTCAACATATTCAAACGGAGTTGCCGTAAAATTTTTCTGCAACATAAGTTGACTAAATTTTGATTAGGTGCATCCTTCTTATAACACGAGTGTAAAGTTGTTGGCGAGAAATTTTTTTTCAAATTGCTATTGAAAGGCTTAGAAACTATCGACTGTAATGCTGTCCAATCAGATAGTAACCTCTTCGTCAGCAACATATTAAATGACAGATGGCCGACTTTTCAGAACAACGATTTGATTAGCCAGTGAAACAACAATAGAATAATACTAAAATGTCCAAATACAATTACCGTAGGAATATCTCGTTCGGTCGGTGTGCAGAGTCAACAAAATTGGTAAAAACGAATTAATAAAAATAAACAAACATCCCAAAACGTTTGTTCACAGTATTAAACCATGATGCAGTCTCAAGAGCACACCATGTTGACAGATTCAACTTCTCTCAAGGTACACTCATCTCTGGCCACTCGAAGCGCACACTTGGGGTTTCAAAACACAGCATCATCGTTCGTAACGACGAGATTGAAAACTGAAAATTGTTGATTATTTCGATAGAGAATGGTCTATTTTGATTTTGTACAACCACTTTTGCTCGTAAAATCCTGGGTATAGTTTAGGTTACACGTTGGAATAAATTAAGGACTGCCTCACCGTACGTCCAACTTGTTTTGAAAAAACAATTAATGATTTATTAACATATGAAGTTAAAACTATACAAACTGAAAAACTACATTTAGTTTACCATATCGAAAAAAGAATATTTGTCTTGCAGGAATTTGTCATTTAATGGAAGATATTATTGTTTTTCTGTTCTGTGAAAATAATACGGAAATGTTATTTAATATTATACAACTGAACTCGCATTAACTTATCGAAACTTAATCTAAGAATAATAATTGATTATCACAAATTTAGATCAAATTCAATCCAATGTCTCCCATCTCGCTTCTCCTTCTTACACCCTTCAAATGGCTTCAACAAAGACATCTGGTAGAATGGAAGTACATGCACACTAAAAGAAGAACACACGCTTAAAGTTACCTGCAAATCCGTCCGACGATGAAGTGGCAGCGAGGAACATTAACTTGAGAAGGCCTACGAAACGCGATTGGATCAGGTTCCTCATTTTCTAAACTGCTCGGTGTATGAAATCAGTAGCCAAACCTATGCGGTGAAAAATTGTGAAGCTCACTTTACTCCTTCCTCATTTTCCGACTAACCTCATGCACAATTTAGTGTT